GCAGGCACAACACATGGCTAATGCCTGATGTGACATTGGAGAGTACACAAGGTATAAGTAAAGTGTTTGGCTCAGGAGCCAGAAAACCTGACTCATCCCTTGGCTGCTTCTCTCTAATACATGACTAGAGTGTGAAGATGTGTGGAGCAGAGCAGAGTCGGCCTGCCCACCAAGCCCAGGCTCACTCAGCAGACAGCCAGGCAGGAGCTCTTGCCACAGTTCAGCAGATCCAATGATCTGGACACTTGAGTGACACATGCTTACACTTCCTAGGTATCATCATGGTAACTGGTAATGGGTACTACTGAAATTACACTGTTTTCAAAATTTCTTGTAGTTCTGAGAATAGCATTTTCCCCTCAATACTGTGTTTTCCCTTTCATTTCTCTCTTCAGAAACTTTCCAAAAGAGCTGGTGAAAAGAATCAGTGACTACATTTCGGACAAAGCCTTCTAGGAAGTGAAAAGGAGGGAGTCTTGTTGAGGCTCTGCCTCTCTCCTCCCTCTCCAGGTATCATCTTCTCACCTTATTGGGCAAAGCCGCATCAATCTCCTGCTGCAGTTTGGTCTGGGCATCAGGATGGGTGGCAAGTTCATACAAAATGAAAGAAAGAGCACTGCTAGTGGTCTCATAGCCAGCAAAAATGAAGATAATTGATTGAGCCACAAGCTCCAGATCAGACAGGGCTAACGGAAGAGGAAACACAGTTTAGGTAAATCCAGCAAATCACAACATCAGGGTTTAGATGAAGAAAAATCCCATTAAAACCCACAGATCACTAGGCAGGACCATGGAAAAGCAACTCAGGGTCATTCTCAGAGTGGTTTTCACTCTCATGTCTATCCAATAGGGGAAACAAAGGAAAACTTTTTTTTAATCCAGTTGTCCTGAGGTCTACACCACTCTTGGACTTGGCTACTAACTGTGCCATTCTCAGCACCACCAAAGATAGGTAATTTCAAGAGATACCATTTCTATCTAAGATACACAGTATGATAAATATAAACTTTTAGATACCTGGGCCCTGAAATAAACATGGTCTCTGTGCCAAACATGCAATTCAAGATAAAAAAAAGAATACATAAAACAAGTGTTTGTATGGTTTACAGAGTTCAGATTTACTGATTCTGATTTTCTATGATGATGTCATGAGAACATTTAATTATCAAATCTTTTATCCCAGTGAGTATGAACCCCATAAAATAGGACTATAAAGTCAAGGTTCGGGCCAGGTGCAGCGGCACACACTGGTAATCCCTGCAAGAGGCTGAGACAAGAGGATCATGAGTTCAACGCCAACCTCAGCAACAGCAAGGCACTATGCAACTCAGTGAAACCCTGTCTCTAAGTAAAATACAAAGTAGGGCTGGGGATGTGGCTCAGTGGTGAAGTGCACCTGAGTTCAATTCCTGGTAACCCTCTCTACTGCACCAAATAAAAGACAAGGTTTGGAGCTCGAATGTTGGCATTCATAGCTACCAGCCTACCTGTGGGTGTTTAAATTTTAATTAATTAAAAATCAATATACTTCAGTTCCTCAGTGGCACTAGCCACATGTCAAGTGCTAAGTAGGCACATGTGTTTGGTGGCCATTTTATAGAAGAGTTAAACTGTAGACTGTTTCCTTCATCTTAGAAACCTGAGTAGAACTGAGTAGATACATTCAGGATAGATGGATGGATGGATGGATGGATGGATGGAT